TCTCCCACAAAATAAAAATATATGTATCTTATGAATTCATCTTTAGTTCATCTAAACTATAAGCAAACATCACTAGTTCATCTAAACTCTATCTTTATTGGGATCCATTATGTATCTACTTACTAAATTAACCGTATACGTTAAGTCCGAACGCATACAAACCAAACCATACACTAGATATCCCAGTGTACTAGAATATTGAACACATTACATGTATTCTACCTCCGCATTTGATTTTGTTGAACAATCCGATGTAAGTTTGAAGTAAGTTGCTAGCAGAGTGCTGATGGGCTTCGCCCTTTGCATATTAAACAACCTTTCAATATACTCCGTTTGATATAGGTATAATTTACCTGCTTTTCTATCTCTTCTAATATTCATTCTTAGTATCTTCTTCGCATGACTAAGATATGTCATCTCAAACTCCTTATTAAGTCGACGTTTCACATGTCTAATCTTTTCTTTATTGTTTGCAGCTATCAAGATATCATCAACATAAATAAACAAATATATAAGTGAAACATCAAAACTTTTTTGAAGTAAACACATGTGTTAAAATTACTTCGCTTAAAACCAAGAGAAATCATAAAAGAGTCAAACCTCATATACTATTGTCTAGACGACTACTTAAGTCCATAAAGAGATTTCTTCACTGAACAAACATGATCCTCCTTTTCTGAAATCATGAAACCCTTCGGTTGTTACATGTAAATGTCCTCTTCAAGTTCACAATACAATAACGTCATTTTCACGTCTACCTACTAAAGCTCCAAGTCTCGCATAGCTACTATCCTAAGCAAAGCTCTAATCAAACTATGTTTTGCCATCATAGAAAACACAATATTAAAGTCAATACCAAGGATTTGGCTAAATTCCTTCACAACCAGCTTTGCATTGTATTTGGGTTTTTTAACTCCAAGAATTCATTCCTTCTTTTTGTACACCTACTTACACTAAATGGTTTGCTTTCTGCTGGATAGTTTCACTAAAATCCAAGTTTTATTCTTGTGAAGTGACTCTATTTCCTCCTACATTATGATTATCCACTTGTCTAAGTTTTTCTAGCTAATAGCATTTGAATAGAATGATGGCTCTTAGTTTGCATCAATTTCTTTTGCAACGCTCAAAGTGTACGTGACTAGATCAGCCTCCTTATAACTTTACGATCATTAGATTTCTCTTTTGTGTCTATTTTGTACAATAGACGACGATGAAATAGACTATTGCGAATGAGTTATATTCTCTGTGAGTATTCAAACACAGAATCTGTTTCAAACTTAACTTCTACCTTCTTCTGTGTAATCTCTGATTCATTTGAATTCTTGGTAGTTTCATTAAAAGGAGATCCTTACAACATACCAAGATTAATCAAATATCACATCTCTATTAATAATTATCTTTCTAGTTTGGGGACACCACAATTTATAGACTTTTACTCCTTATTTCCTACAAAGATGCACTATATGGATATAGGCTCTAATTTGCCATTGTTTATATGAGCATACGTAGGATAACTATATATATTCAAATTAGAATAATCTACATTCTTACCAGACCATATCTCATGTAGAGTATTTTAGTTAATAGCCATGGATAGAGACATGTTAATCAGAAAACATGTTTGTGAATCCACTTTAGCCCAAAATGACTTCAATAGACTAGAATTAGAGAACATATAATGATACAATCTTACTCATGCACTTACTCATCTTCTTTATACTTTCATCTTATTTTACAAGGATGGAAGTCAATGGAGTCTTTATACACTTTTTACATTCCTGTTTTACTTACTTCATGCATACTTGTAATATGTCATTCATTATTTATATATATAAGCATGTTTTAATCATCACGTATTATTATGTTATCTTACTTTATGATGTACATCTTATGATAAGCCTGATGTTCATATACTTTAGACTTCATATATTGCATATCATTTAGGTTGCATAGCATGAAACTCATCAATCATGTCAAAAAATATAGTGATCATACAATGTTAAAACGTTGTTGGAGCATTGCACAAGCCAAAAGGCATCATTCGAAAAGTGAATGCACCATAGGGACAGGTGAAAGTAGTATTCTCTTAGTCTCCAGGTGTAATTTTTATTTGATTGTAGACATTATAACCATCAAGAAAATAATATAAAGCTTTACCAGCAAGCCTATCCAGCATTTGGTCAATAAACGACAATAGAAAATGATATTTCCTTATGGATTTGTTCAACTTTTTATAGTCTATACAAATACATTAACTAATAGTGATGTGCATTAGAACTACCTCATTCTTCTCATTGAAACAATGGTGATGCCGCCATTCTCTGGCATGCATTGAACATGGCTCACTCAAATATTGTAAAAAATATGGTAGATTATTCTAGTATCTAACCATTTGATGATTTCCCTTCTAACAACTTCCTTCAAAATAGGATTCAACCTCATTTCCTTCTAATTAAACTGCTATTAAGATCTTCCAACAATATATTATGTATACAAAAAACTAGACTAATGCCCTTAATATCAACGATGCTTCAAGCAATTGCTCGCTTATGTTATTTCAAAACATTAAACAACTATTCTTCATGCACTGCTCTCATCTTTGGCGCAATAATAAAAGGTAGAGACTCATTTTTTTCCAATAAATGCATACTTCAAATGATTGGGAAGAGGCTTTAATTCAAGAGTGGGAGGATCTTTAATAGAGGGTCAAGGAACTTGAATAGGCTGAGATGGAAGCTCTAATGATTCAAAATGATGTGTATACCTTCCTTCGACTTAACTGCTATCATCTAGTTCCTCGATTGTCACTAGGGATGGTTATGGGTTGGGTCAAATTTTTTATAAACCTGACCAAAACCAAAAATTATACATCCTCCACCTAGCCTAAACTCTGCCCAAAAAAAATACACCTTTCACATAACCTGAACACGACCTTACCCTACATGAAATAATATATTTATTAAAAATATTATTTTTATTCAATAAAAATAAGGATTTAATTGAAAAATTATATATAGAGAGTATTAGTGTAATTATCCCTAAATATATACGGTAAAATTATAACTTTTTTTAGTCAGGTCGGGTCAAACATTTTTCACCCTAAACCCGATCCCAACTTGACTCAAACATAACCTCTAAAAACCTAATCCAACCTGGCCTTTTTTTTAAAAAACATTGAACTAATAGGGTCAGGTCGGGTCAAAACCCATCAAGTTCGTGTCACATGCTCATCCATAATTATCACAACAATGCTTGTGGCAACATCAACGATATGCCAATCATCTCATTGTTTCTACACAAAAATGTCAATAACATCAATTGAATAGCACTCAACATTGTCACACGCATATGAAACATTATTTAAAACATTAAAAGTGATGTGTTCATCATTTAAGCACATAGTGAGTTCTCCTTTTTCAAAATCAATCAAGGTTTGGTCGGTAGAAAGGATGGGTTGTCCAAGTATAATTGGAATGTCCTTGTCGACTTTACAATCCAATATGGTAAAATACGTAGGGGGAAAATTTATTCTCTCAAACTAACATATTATTCATAATGCCACTAGGATATACGATAAAACGATCAACAAATTGAAGAGTCAAAGTGGTGGGCCTTTCTTCTCCACTTCCAAATTTCCTAAAAATTGACAAAGGCATGAAGTTAATGCTATAACCTAAATCACATTATGTTTTACCTACAAATTGATCACCAATAATGCAAGGAATATTAAAACTCCCTAGATATTTGAGTTTTAATGGAAATCGACTTGTAACCATAACACTACATCCCTCGGTGAGTGTAACCGTTTCAAATTCACCAAGTCTTCTCTTCTTGGAAAAAATCTCCTTTATGAACTTTATGTAATTTGAATTTTGCTCCTAAGCATCAATTAATGGAAAATTGATTGTCAATTGTCTTAGCACATCAATAAATGCTTTATATTGTTAGTCCTTTTTAGTGTTCTTGAATCGTTGAAGGAATGGTGGAAGAGGCCTTGTATTTGGTTGTCTTGGCATTAGTGGTGGCATTACAAGAGGAAATGTTATTGGAATTGCTGTTGACGATGTTTCATAATTACTACACTCTCCTGTCTCCTTTGCTGTGACATCCTCAATAGGTGTCTCTTTATCCACTTCTACACCTTTGCCTTTAACTTACTGTTCAAGCCTTTTATCATCATTCTTTTTGGGTTCTTCCTTAGATTTCCCAATATGAAGATCACTTCGTGTTTTAATGGCTTTGCAATGTTCATTACATTGAGCTTTCTCGAGTGCTTTCAAAACTTTAATATCATTTGGCAGTGTTCCTTGCGGCATATTGCTAAGAGCGTTTACCAATTACCCCATTTGATTTGAAGATTGTCCTTAATAACTTTGTTGGTTGAGACGTTGTTGTGTTTCCACTACCTGATAGTATGATTGATGCAAGGGCATCATCTACTACTGATTATATCGTTGCTATTATTGATAATGTTGTTGTGTATTTCTAAAGTTTGATTAGAACAATATATTGGGATTTTCTACATTTTGGCTCTTGTAAGACAAATTGAGACAATTTCGAAAATGGTAATTTTAAGTATTCCCATAAGCATTGGTATTGCCATTTATATTATAATTTCTCATAAAGTATAATGATTTGGGGTTTTGTGGAAATTGTTCAAAGTTATGATCCTTTCCACAATAAATGCAAGATACAATAATTGTAGCCTTTACCTCATACATACCCTGGGCTTTTGCATTTTTTTCAACATTTCAATCAATGTTTTGATTTTTGAGGTTAGAGTGTTGATAACATCATTGTCCACTGCTGTAGTATTACGTTTACTCGACATAATCATTGTATTGAGATATTGGTAATCATTGTTGGATATCCTCTCCATAATACAGTAGGCTTCATTGTAAGTCTTATTTTATAATGCTCCTTTAGAAGAAGCATCAACAACCATTCTTGTTTGCATAATTAATCCGTTGTAAAACATTTTCATTTGCGTCCAATGCTAAAAATAATGTATCGAACATTTGTGTAACAAATCCTTGAAACACTCTCAAGCTTTATTTAGGTTCTCGTCCTCCATTTATTTGAATGATTTGAAATCATTTCTTAATTTAGCTTCCATGTTTGTAGGGTTGAAACGTAGCAAAAATTTTTAGCAAGCTCATTTGATGATGTTATAGCACCAAATGTAGTAAATTTAACCATACTTTAGCTTTATCACGAAGAGAATAGAGAAACAGTTTCAACATCAAAGCTTTCTTGGGCACCTCTAGTTGCACGAAAGAATCATATACTTCCATGATTGCTCTAAGGTGTTTTCTAGAATATTTGGTAAATGAACCACTATATTGCTCTATTGATTGTAGCATCTGAAACATTGTGGGTTTCAACTCAAACAGGGCAACATGGATGGCAGGTCTCATGATGCTAGGATTCAGATCGTCTAAGGTCGACACAACATGCTCTTCGATTTTTCTGTTGCAGTCATCAATGTTGTAAAAATTTGATGGATATACTCCATTTCCAGCAGGTAAGTCATCATCACCATTTTGCAATGGTGGCAAAGCATTGATATCAGCACCAACGTTCATGTTGGTTTGATTTTAGTTTGCTTGTCTACATCTTCGACGAAGTGTTCGTTCGATTTTAGGATCAAAAGGCTCTAATTCTTTACAATCATTGCAGGCTAAAACAATAAACTAACAAGAAAGTACTTGCAAACTGAAAATAAATAAAGTCAGTAAAAATAAATAGAAAATAACTCTAATGCAATTCCCTGACAACGATACCAAAAATCTAATGCTACGAATATGGCTACAGCATTTAATGCAAGTGCATGTATCGTATGTCAAGTAATAAAGTAGATACAAAAAGTGTATCAAATGTCGAACCCACATAAACAAAAAACTACAGTAGAATTATTGAGATAGTTATAAAAGATTTGTAGGTGTTGAAATGAGAAAATAACTACAAGGAAACAAAATATTAAAATCAAAATGGTAAAGTCAAGCAATGTAACAACATTCATGAGAGCAATAGGCTAGTGGTTCAAAAGATGCATATGTCATATGGTAGTTCATATAATGAATACGTTGTAACAATGATGTTATGAAAGATACAATGATTAACAATACTTAATTAATTAGAATCAATGTTCACCAATTCTATTAATCACATAGTTAACAAAGCATCAACTATTGGCAGCTCATAAAAATATCATGAAATCTCAACAACTTTAATTTATAAGAAAATAGCATGAAATATCAACAACTTTAATTTATAAACATCCTCAAAATCTCATACATTAAAGATAACTTCATTTCTAAAATTATCCCAATAAAGATGCAGCTCATAAAAATATCATTTACGCATAGATCAATAATAAAAACATTTCATCAAACATATTAAGTTCAAATCCAAAAAAAAACCAAAATAAGAAATGTTTAAACTTTGTAATTGTCACTTCTCTTTTTTAGAACAAGAAACAAGAAGATAAGTTGAACCCTACGTGATCATGTTGCTACATGGTAGTGTTCCCCTAACTACTGCTTCGCGTCTTGGCAACTGGTTTAGGCGGCCATGACTGAAAGGTAAATTATGTATTAAAAATAATAGGAGAAGATTATAGAGGTGTGAAAGATGATCCTCGCTCCTTTTTATAGGCTAGCAAGGTCAATATTTCCTCCAATGGGAGAAATCCACATGTTTTTAGATATTTTAACCTCCTTGAAAATTGTCATTCCAGCTATCCTTCTTCCAAAAATTTTCATAACCGCTTGATGACTCAATAATTATTGCTAGTTTTGCTCTTTGATTTGGTGCAACATCACAACACAATATAACTTATAACATGCAGCAATGCCACAACATCAGCGTACCATATTTCAGCATAAAAAATAGCGAAAATAGTCCAAGTTCCACCAACTACTCTCATAATGCACATGAAGTAAAATATAATAAAATTAACCTAAATAGATCATAATATTATCATAATGGCGTTAAAGTTCAAGCTTAACCTAGGTAAAATGATCCTAAATGATAACTCTTTTGGATAATTATCATAACGCACTAAACTCCCTAACTCAATCTCATGAATATGTCTCTATGAATGTTTCTTCTAAATTATAGGTTTCCTTACTGTTACCTAAAGAATTAATTAATGAACCTCAACTCATAACTATAATCTATATATGTTTAGTTCATTAAGAAAACTTTATGCCTTACTACAAATATGCTTGTCCTTTAGCATCATTTGATAGTTTCGTATTACTGAACTTTCCCAAAGATCACTCTATTATTCACAATTTCAATCTAAAAAGAATCGATCCTATGTAGTTATCCACATCAGTAATGGGAGTTCTTTCGACGTCACTTGCATAGTACAGTAAATATGTAATTAAGGGGCGCGTAGGTCACATTTTTGCTTTTATATCAGTGTCTGAAACTTATTTTGATATTTATATATTATTGTATTATGTTTTAACGTATGAACACCTTCTGAATTTATATATTTATGTTGAAATTGTTTTATGATTTTAAATTTTTTATGATAAAATTTTATTTTCCCCAGATTTTTACTGTGGATCACCTCAGATCAGATCGGGTCACCCGTATCATTCTGAAGTTACATTTACGATATTTATATTTTTCCTCATTCGTCCATTGTGTTACCGACTTCTCATCAAATCCTTCTATATAATCGTCTAGATCTAATTTTTGCAAGAACATCCCGAATCTTCACCTACCATAATGAGAACCTTGTGTTTGAATCCAATAATTGTACATAATACTTTATTGTTTTCATAATCTTCTTGAATCTCAAGCTCTGACACCAGTTTGTTCCAACATCGGAACAATTATTTGCAAATCAATAAACACAATCGAAAAAGAAAATAAATAACACCAAGATTTACGTGAAAAACCCAAAAGGGAAAAACCACGGTCAGTGGAGAATAAGTTCACTAATATAAAGGAAGAAAATATAAGAGGATACTGGAGAAATAAAAATTTTATATGTAACATTTACCCTTGGTATCTATTTATAGGGATAAATAGATAATTACAAAGTAAACTTATAAAATAGAAATACAATTTAAGTAGATTTTCTACTTAAAAGGAAAAATAAAGTTTCTATTTCTAATCAAAATAGTTTTCTTACTATTTCCTAATTAATTTAATTAATTTGTATAACTTTGAATTCAAGTCAAAATCTAACACATTAACTATTAAAAGTTTGATAACATCTAAAGAATTTATTTACACTAAATTTCCTCTAATAATATCTAGATTATAAGTTGGTTCACAACTTTTAAAATATCTTAAATGAATCCTCAATTATTAATATTATTTTTAACCATCAAGCAGTGCATTATATTTCGGTTTAGATATGAGATAAAGTATATCTAAAAATACATAGATCAAATTTTAAATAGTGTGCACCTACTACAATAACAACTTGGATATGGTATTTTAAATTAAATTTTAATCAAATAACTAGTTTTTTACTTGTCGGGCCTAAGTTATCCATGCAATATGTCACTTGTATTTACAGTTTGATCTATATAAATTAAGCACATCCTATATTGAATATAAAATGATATTTAATGCTCAAACATATTATTAGACTTTTGTGAAAACAGCATATTATTAGACTAACAAACGAATCAGAAACGGAGTCAGAATTAATATTAGAGGGCAAGGGTTAAATTGATTAATATTTAAATATTAAAATTTTGGAAGCAATAATTAATTGATTAATATATAAACTCACAAAGGCTTAAAAGAACTATTAGACCTTAAAAGCTGAGGGGCCAATCCATAGCCCTCCCAGTTCCTACATAGTTTTGTCATTGAGAAGAATCTAATTGAGATGAGAAACTAATTTGGAATATTGTAATTAACTCAAAATTATATAAAGAAAAAATAAAAACAGTTAGAATGTAAATAACTTTATTGATTCAATACTTAAATAAACATTAGTGCAATGGATTAATTATCGATTGGTATAGTGAGATAGAGTTTTAAAATCATTTAGGTAAAGTCAGAAATTAAATCCTGATTTTATAGATGAAAAGACTTGAATTAAAGAAAAACGATCTTATTATAGATTTTTATAATATGAATGAATTGAATTCATTTAATTATATAAAAGAAAACAATAGTCCAATGAACTCTAGCTCCTTATCCTTTAAAAATGCTTGTTTTAGGAACCTAATACACTCAATCTTTTTAATCGATTTTTTTAAAACAACCCCTCCAAACCGAAAGTACAATTGATCCCAATTTTCTTACGTCGTGGGTTTACTTGGTGATCTTTCCAATGCTCGGCGTGATATTTATATAGGCCCATGACAGGACTATTTTCGATAATCCCGGAATCATTTTTCTTGTTTCTCGATCTATTCGGGGTTGAGGACGTTGTTGATCGAAAATCTCATAATGGTTTAGTCCCGGATTGCTGTGATTTTCCAGTTTTCGGTGCTGGAAATCTCGGCCTTGTTGGCGCGTGGTGCTCACGTGCTGTTATCGATTACTCTCGATGGGTTATGACCGTTGGATCAAACGACTCCTACCTTTCTTAAGAACATTTTTTCCTCTCATGAGGACAAATTCAAAAATTCATTTTTATTATGGATCAAAGATATCATATGAATTTCAGTTTGACACCCGAAAAAACATTCAAGAAAATTGCATTCACAAATGCATAATTTTTGGATTGCTCGAAGGACTTATTATTTTGCTTGAAAGACTTACAGATGGCTTGAAGGATTTAATCATCATGTTGAAAGACTTGTTGATGGCCCAAAGGACTTACTAAATAAAAAACTTTGAAAATCGATTTCTTACTTTTTTTTTTTTTTTAATTCATGTGAAATATCAATAAAGAAAACAACAGTTTTAATGAAAATTGCTATGTGGTACCATCTACATCTTTAGAAGACAAAATGGTCAATGCCACTAAAGAAATCTTTTGGCAGAGTGAAGTCATTTACGAAATATGACAATTTCAAACTTTAAACTCTAAATATTAAATCTTTAAATAAAAAATAAAAAATTAAAATTTTAAATTTTAACATTTGAATTTTAATATTGAAAATTTATTTCAATTCTTAA